AAAAAAAAAAAAAAAGTGTGTAAGTCTGTATACTTGTATAAGTCATATACACATCCTGCTATATGTGACATAAAACGTTTTTAATATGTAAAAAGGATAAGATAAACATTTAAAGGTAACTGTAAGAGTTATTTTTTATATTAATGGTAGAAAGAATTCTTGTTAGTCTCACTAAATATATTTAGTGAAAGCAATATGATTGACTGGGTTTCAATGGTTTTTAAAATCGTTAATACCTTCTGAAGCAGTTATTAAATTGTCTGATTCAACGTTCAGGCTATTTCTGTACCTCATTTTAATGGCTGTCATAAGCTGGAAAAGATAACTCACAAAGATATGTAAATCTTAATGGAAGAAGTACATCTTTGGCTGTTCTTACTAATGCAAGTATCCATTTTTATCACTTCCATCCACCAATCATGAAAAGTTTTTATTGAAATTCAACTAACTTTCTATCTTTCCTCATGTCAGCCAGAAAATGTTGCATTTTAAATTGTTAACAAATGGGTTCAGAACTCTTTGGAATTCATTGCTTGGAAGAGTTTTCAATAGCTTAGAGAATTCTGCCTTCAAGTTTTAATGTACATGTGTAAGATGTTTTTAGGGTACTGACCTTGACCTTGTCTTTATTTAAAATTTTGATATTTTGTTCATCATAGATGTTTGCATTAATTTTGAATTTTTAGGGGGCACCTGAGGGGCTCAGTCAGTTAAACGTCCAACTCTTGATTTTGGCTCAGGTCATGATCACGTGGTTCATGAGATCTGTGCTGTTAGCACAGAGCCTGCTTGGGATTCTCTCTCTCTGTCTCTGCCCCCCACTCCAAAAATAAGTAAATTTTAAAAAAAAATGTTGTAGTAAGATACTATTTATCTTGATTACTGAGGTTGTGGCTGTCCTCTTAAGTTTTGCACCGGAGGGGAATGCCTCACCTCGCTTACCATTGTCTCAGCCTTAGGTAGCACACAAACCATTTATACATTAAACTCCTGTAATAGAAATATTTCCAAATCATTGATTTCAAAATGTCCTTCCCACTATTTAATAAGATGGTTTCTGTACAGCTCATGCTAGAAGTAGATATGTCATCTCTCCTATCACCTTTTTTGCTTATGTTTGTATTGTCTTCGACTCATGTTTTCTTTCCAGAAATCTTTTTCTAGCTACTTTCATTTTATTTATTTATTTTTAAATAATTTATCTTTTTGCTAGCCTAAATTTTTATTAAGTGTGTTAGAAGAGCTAGCAACATTATATTCCCCTACATTAAAGCTTTTTCTATATATTAAATATAATTTGTCAAATTGGTTTCCATTCGACACCCAGCGCTCATCCCAAGAGGTGCCCTCCTTAAGGCCCATCACCCACTTTCCCCTCTCTATTTATTTATTTTTAAGTAGGCTTCACGCCAAGCATGGAGCCCAACATGGGGCTTGGCCTGAGATCAAGACTTGAACTGAGATCAAGAGTCAGTCACTTAACTGATTGAGCCACACAGGCACCCCTAGCTTCTTTCCTTTTAGTGAGGGATTAGTTTAATGAAATAATAATGTCATTGGTAAATTTTCTTAACCCAGCACACATAAACTGGAATAAATCACAGTATATTAAGGAGCGCCTGGGTGGCTCAGTAGGTTGAATGTCCAACCTTTGTTGTAGGCTCAGGTTATGATCCCAGGATTATGGGATTGAGCCCTGCATCAAGCTCTGCTCTGAGCATGAGGGCTGCTTAAGATTTTCTCTCTCTCTCTCTC